CATCTACAGCAAGGGAAACCTTGGCGGAGGGATCTGGGTGCACGAGAGTTGGAACCGTTGATAGGACAGATCTGGCGACAGAGAACGCTTGATTCATCTCTAAGGTCCAGGAGAGTGTTGAGACCTTTCCCTTCAAAGCTTCTGTCAGTGGAGCCAGGAGCCCTGCAGCCCCCTTGATGAACCTTCTGTAGAAGTTGAGGATCCCTAGGAACCGTTGAAGTCCCTTCTTGTCTACAGGACGAGGGAAAGTTGAGATCACTTCAGTATGTTTCTGGAGAGGAAAACATCCCTTACTAGAAACCCTCATGCCAAGATACTCAACCTCTGGTTTAGCGAACACACACTTGGCAGGGTTTATACTGAGGCCATGGAGGCGGAGACGGTCAAAAACCTGGCGGACATGGTGGAGGTGGGATTCTGCATCAGGACTGGCTATGAGCAGGTCATCAACATAAACAAAACAATGAGGAACATCACCTAGAATCTGGTCCATCATGCGCTGGAAGGTGCATCCTGCATTCCTGAGACCAAAAGGCATCCTGATCCACTCGAAAAGACCAAAAGGAGTAATCACTGCTGTCTTTGGAATATCACCTTTGGCCATGGGCACTTGATAATAGCCCTTGGTCAGGTCGAACTTAGTAAACACGGTGCAGCCATTGAGACGAGAAGTGAAGTCAGCTACATTGGGAAGAGGATACCGGTCAGGAACTGTCTGAGTATTTAACTGGCGATAATCGCCGCAAGGGCGCCAGGATCCATCAGGCTTCCGTACCATATGCCAAGGACTCGCCCAAGGAGAGTTAGAACGGCGGATTACACCTGCAGTCTCCATTGCAGCAAACTCTTTCCGAGCAGATTCAAGTTTCTCAGCATCTAGTCTCCTAGCTTTGGCAAAAACCGGAGGGCCAGGAACAGTATGACGAACATCATGTTTAGGAACTGCAGCACTTTAGATGAGATCACATCAGGGTACTCAGCCAACAGGTCTCTGAACTCTTCTGTGGTAGACAACAACACAGCATACAACTCTGAATGTTTCCCAGGTTTACAATTCGACGAAATGGCGGGGATTGCTTCAAGGGTCGCAGCATCAAGGAGACAGGCACTGGCAACGCCAACTAACAGATGATGATGGCGAAGGAAATCAGAACCCAGGATGGGCATGGATACATCGGCGAGGAGAAAATTCCAGTCGAATCGGCGGGAATCAAACTGGAGAGCAATCTGACGAGAACCAAAAGTATTCATGGCTGTCCTGTCGGCGGTCCTTAATTGCACCCCAAACCCAGGAGAAAGAGTTTGGCGAGGTCTGTGTGGGAAAACTGAAACTGAAGCCCCTGTGTCCACCAGGTGCTACAAAACTAGGTTTTTTAAGGTGTGGAATTTTTAACTAGAAATGAAGCTTTAATATATCTTATGTAATCAGAAAGAGTCCAACTTTTAGAGTGATTTAAATTTGAATGTTTTAGATATTTTAAGGATATGTTTCTAGAGATTTGATTTGCAATACTGTAACATTCTTTTGTTCAACACTCTCAAAGATGGAAAATTTCTGGTTATAGACTCTATGAACAGAACTACAGGGTGTCCCACGAAACATGACAATAGCAAGACGACTTGAAAGTCGTCTTTGATGTTTATATGATAATGGTATTTAGGTGCATCCTGTTTACTATTGGTATTTTGTTTATATGATAATGGTATTTAGGGGCATCCTGTTTACTCTCTGTATTTTGGGACATCTTGTATAATATTTGTATTTTGGGACACACTGTATACTATCTGTTTTCTTGGACAACCTGTATTCTACTGGTATTCTGGAACACTCTGTTCATTGTATTCTATTGGTATTCTTGGACCCCCTTTTACAGTGTACACTATTAATATTCTTGGCCACTCTGTATTCTACTGGTATTCTTGGACACCTTTTATTCTATTGGTATTATTGGACACCCTGTATTATATTGGTATTGTTGGACACCCTGTATTCTATTAGTATTCTGGGACACCCTGTCTGTTATTGGTATTCTTAGACACCCTGTATTCTATTGGTATTCTTGGACACCCTGTATTCTACTGATATTCTCGGACACCCTGTATTCTATTGGTATTCTTGGACACCCTGTATTCTATTGGTATTCTTGGACACCCTGTATTCTATTGGTATGAATGCGGAACAGAAGATTGTTCTGGAAAGAATGTTTTGTGAATACCAATCAGTTCTGTTTCTATAAACTTTCCAAAAGTAAGATTTAAACTTTTAAAGTTTAATCAGGTTGCAGTGTAAATATCTAATATGGAAACTAGAAAGCTCTCGTCTTGTCATAAAATATGAATTATTTTGTAGTGGTTTAGGTTACTTTATACACTTTATATTACGTTTAAATTTTTTAGAACAATTTAGTGTTTTAAACAATTTAGTGTTTAAATTTAAAGTTTTAAACTTAATAAATCTAAATAATTAACAATATTGTCTCAATTTTAGAAAAGTATAAATCAGATGAATGTGTCGAGCAGTAAATGGAAGATTTTATTTTTTTCATTTTAAAGGGATTGTAGACTTAATTATAGGTGACCCTCCATTGACTGGATAAATGGGATTTCCTATTGTGAATTCTCTGAATAAGATGAGAAAACTACTAGAATTTAACTCTTTTCAAGATAGTTAAACGACGATATCCTTCGTTGTGATAATGCAAAATATGGGTTTTACATTAAAAACTCTATCGAAGTTCACAGACATGTATATTTTTATTGAAGACCTTTTTATTTACCCCACCCACTTGAAATATGGCAAAATCTAGGGGATTGCCTATAAAGCATCAAACAAGAATAAATGTTTGAGAGTCAGAGATAAAATTTAGATGGTCTCCAATAAAATGAGTCTCCGATGAAAGAGGGGGTTCTCTGATGAAGTATAGTGGTTTACATGGAAAGGAATTAAGTTTGTCCAAAACTCTGATTATCTTATATCTACATATATCGTTGTAATCCAAGTTCCCAACCTTAAATAATTCAAACTCTGTTAGATCAAATCTAAGTTTAAAATATCTAAGGTTGAAACTATCAGTTTGCAAAGATATAGGAATTTGAAAATCAGAGTTTGTGGCAAAGACTCAATTCATTTATGACGTTTCCAGTGAAATGGCGGGGTTTTCGATAGAATTCCTCTAATGGTGATTTAACTCATCTAGAAGGCAGACCAGTGCAGCACAGTCCGAATTTTGGATAGGTGGCCTGGTAGGCCGGCCAGAGTGTTATACCTGCGTATTTGAATAGTTGGCCGGAGTAGTTTTAATCTCTCGATAGAGAGACCACACCAGGAGATATACTATTAGATAGAAGAGAAGGTATGTGATAGAAATCCAATCCTGAAATAATTAATTTATGTATGTAATATGTTTAGACTATCAGTAGGCCGGGGTATATAGACAACAAGTAAATAAACCATTCCGGCCTTCCTACCCTGCACAGGAAACGTCTTTGTTTTCAAGAGAGGAGGAAGGCCAGCCACCACAATTTCTCGTCCGAGCCACATTCTCCTAATTTTTTCGTCCGAGCCACCTCGGAATCCTCGTCCTTCGATTATTATGTGTTTAAAAGTTTCCAATTCTCGAACATAAAACTATTTTTTTTAATCTGGCCCCGTTAGGGCATAAAGTATGGATGGCCGGACTAATGTATTGCAATGATTATACATTATATTGGAATCTTCAAACCCGTGAAAATAATGTCAAACTTTATAGAGGTAAAACTTAATTCTCTTCTGCCTCTGTAATGGCTAACCTTCGCGATATAAAATAAATAGCAAAATATTTGGCATACCTCTGCCTATCATTTTCCCAACGGAACCACCCGGAAAAATTTTATGGTAATTAACAAAAAAGATTGAAGTTCTATTAACTCAGAATTATTTGCGGCATTCTACAACAGGAATATCTGAAAATGCGTGTAATAAAGGTGAACATTTTTAAAGACATTAAACTTGAAAACTTCAATTTAATTGAAACCTTTTTTTCGATTTACAAAAATCCTATATTTCATTAATGCCCTAACGTGGCCCGATTCTTTAAAAACAGTTTTATCTGGAAGGTTTAGACACATAAAAAAAATAATATTGAAAGGACGAGGATTTCAAGGTGGCTCGGACTAGAAACTGTTGTGGTTGACCTTCCTCCCCTCTTTTTTAATCTTTTTTGTATATGTTAGATCAGGGTGGTAGCTGACGGGGGGGGGGAAGATCAAATTAAAGGTAAAATTACTAATAAGAGCGTTTCTTTGCTGTGTAAAAGAGCTTGCCCCCCACACCCCGGTTCACCCTGTGTGTTCTTATATTTTATTCCTAAAATAAAAGAATATTAAAAAAGGTTAGCCAGCCTGTCATGTTGCTGTTTGGTTTCCTATTATATTTCTCACTATGATAAACGATCTCTTTTAAAGCCAATCTATATAGTAAAGCTCTTCGTTTATTTATATATATATTTACAGATTACATATATTACAATTACATATGTTAGCTAAAGCTGGCCAATTACAGCTGGATAAAATTGGCTGAAAATTTTCGAGAGTACCCATGGGTTTCCCGGGGGGTGACATAGGCAAACAAATTGAACTTAATTCTTCAAAATTCGATTCTTTTTCTTTAAAATTCGAATATTTTTCCACTGTTTTAAAATTGCACGGGTAACGCCGGGCACTTGAGATAGTATGATATATTACCTCTAGATTAGTCCAATCATGAGTGACAACCACCCAGATGTATTTTGTACTCAAGAAGAATGTGAGAATCATCCAACAAATCAATAGGCAAACATTTCTAGTCTTTGCTAAATAAAAATAGAATCATTATTCTATGTATATTTTGCTTGTCTGGGTGTTTGTTTGTATCCAATAATGTTTATGGATGATCGAACTTTTGCTTCTAACAAATTCGGTTTTTAAGAATTTTATAAAATCTGCGAAATTTTTCTTTGTTTTGTTTTACAATGTATACAAAGAGAAAATGTTCACAATTGAACTAGAAGATAAGTGCGAAGCGCCCTAAAAGCCTATTAGTTTATATAAATATTCAAAAAAACTAAGATCTGATAAAAAATGTACCTCCAAAAATGAGCATTAATGAACAAACTACTCCAAAAAGAGCATCAAAAACTAAACACAAGAAATTGAATAATAATTTAATAAGAATAATTTTTTTAAATATGAAAACTGTACAGTGAGAACCAGAAAACTCTGGAAAAGAAAGACGACTTTTATGATCAATCTATGACTTTAAATAGTCCAAATGACTTGTCATACATCAGCTGTGCAGCATAAACAGACCCGTTTCACTTAATAACTGGTTTTATAAGTTACAAATAAAACTATTTTTTTATAACAACACCAAACACACTTATTTTTATTTCAATGTCGTCTTCCTACTCCACAGTATACTGGTCCTCACTAGATGTCTAAATATTAAGAAAATTTTAGCACTTTTAACTGTTTTTGGTTTAAACTCATTTTTGTATTTGTTTAAAAAATATATTTTTATATATTTACCAGACTATATTTTTTATATATATGTACCTTAATGTTTTTTTAATATATTTACCAGAATTTTTTTAAATATATTTACCGGAATATTTTTTTATATTCACCAGAATATTTTTATATATTTATCAGGATACTTTTATATATTAAACCAATATTTTTTTGTATTTTCCAGAATAATTTAAATATATTTACTAGAATATTCTTATATATTCATCAGAATATTTTTATATATTTACCAGAATATTCTTATATATTTACCAGAATATTCTTATATATTTACCAGAATATTCTTATATATTTACCAGAATATTCTTATATATTTACCAGAATATTTTATGAGTGGTCCAATACATACATCAACCTTTTCGCACTCGGTCCTGTAAAAAAAAAAATTTTAAAAAAATAAAATAATTTTATGAAAACTATTTTACCTGTCATATCCCTGAGAATATTTTAGCACGTTTAGTACAGTAGCAACAACTGTTATTATTAACTCTAAACAAAACATCGAAAATATTCATTATGTTAACATAAAAATTACTGGAAAATTGAAAAAAAAAATTATAGCCCAATCTTGGCACGAAAATTGAAGACTTATATGAAAAAATTTCTATTTTGTGTAAAAATTTTTTTTGGCCGAGCGCTGCGGCTAAAACTGAAGAGAGAAATATTCTATTTTTTGCGTTGAGGGATGAAGAGAGTCAGGATGCCAGGAAATACAAAGTTAATCGCTAAAATGTATTTTATAAAAATAATATCACATTATTGGGCATCCTGTTTACTCTCTGTATTTTGGGACATCTTGTATAATATTTGTATTTTGGGACACACTGTATACTATCTGTTTTCTTGGACAACCTGTATTCTACTGGTATTCTGGAACACTCTGTTCATTGTATTCTATTGGTATTCTTGGACCCCCTTTTACAGTGTACACTATTAATATTCTTGGCCACTCTGTATTCTACTGGTATTCTTGGACACCTTTTATTCTATTGGTATTATTGGACACCCTGTATTATATTGGTATTGTTGGACACCCTGTATTCTATTAGTATTCTGGGACACCCTGTCTGTTATTGGTATTCTTAGACACCCNATTGGTCCCTTAATCCTGATTGCTAAATATCTGTCACCACTGCCGACAATTTTGATTTTCTGCTTAATCCTCTCTTTTATATATCTCTTATTCTCTGCCATGGTTCTTTCATTGATTGCGCGCCAAAAATTTTAAATTTTTCTGCTTCTAAATAATTTTTCATTATATATATATTTATAGAATTTTCGATTGCTTCGGATTTTAGGCATAAAAATAAAAATCTGATAAAATATCAAAAATATTTTTGGAACAAAGAAAAAAATCCGCGAAATCAAATTTTTTTGAATAGTAATTTTTTTGAGAACATATATTTTTTCTATCTATATAATAAAACAAAACAATCGTATATATATATAGTCGGCCAAATGGTTGGACCGATTGGGCTGACATTTTTTTTGAACACTAATGGTTGGCCGGGGGGTTATAATATATATATATATATTTAAAGTTGAAATGGTTTACCAACTACACCGACTATGATGACACTATTCTGTAATGACAGACCACAAACACTGTTAAATAATGGTTTCCCGCACATACTTCTGAAACATCTTTAATAAACTAAATAATCATTATTCTAATAAAATTTATTGGGGAGTTGATTGTGAAGCTTGTCATACAGCTGTAGATGTTGATTAACTGCACAAACTTGGTGGAGGGGGGGGGGGCGCAGAGAAAGGGGGAGACTCAACATTACATAGATCGTAACTTTCTACGCCCAACATATGCAGGTTGACGCTTATAAGGAATGGGGAGGCGGGGAGAGGAAGGGGGGGGGGGGGGTTTTGTGTTTGTTAATTTCTTTCATGGTAGACAGTAGCTTCAAATCACGCCTTTGTTTATTATTATTCTACCATTATTGTGGTCCCGAGAATAATAATATGTCTGTAACTATTACGTACATGTGCACACATTTATTCAGCTTTTCAAGAAGAAAAAACAATCTGGCGAATTGTAAATAACAAACGACTCATCCCATGGCCTATAATAAGTCATCGTTTGACTAATCTAAATTGCAGTGAAGTTGGAATTATTCAAATTTCCTGATTTATTTGAAAATATGATATTTATTGTATGATCTAATGGATTTTACATATGAAACATATATGGGGAAAAATGTAGATATTTAATTTGCTTATGTAATTGAAAATGATCATCAACGGAGATCATTTCCTTTAATTACATTGTATTAAATCTTATATGTACACACTAAATATTAGGATTCACTTAATTACACTATTCCGACGATATACTTTTTTAACCTTGTCTTCAACTATCTACACATGGAGCTCAGTCATATCAAACTCAATAACTTCCTTTATTAATGATTACATCCACGACAATTTGTGATAGAACTTTTAACTGAATTCAGCTATGTACAGTGTACAAGTATATATATATGATTCACTGTTTAGGAACAGAAGAAGCAGACTATGTATGAGTCAAACAAGTAAACAGTATGAACAGAAAAAACCCCACTTTCTCCGGTCTCGAGGAATCGAGAAAGCAGCTTTCTCTTGCTGAACATTTGTATTCTCTATTTATGTATCTATTCAAACTTTATACTGAGATTTTTAAAACTTTTTTTATAATGTCTTAAAAAAATAACAATAAGAATTGTTTTGTTTTTTTTGGGGGGGGGGGCAAATTTGAACTGTGAATTCAAAACATTTGGCTTCTTGGATATCAGGGATAAGTATAAGATACTTTAAAGGTACACATACAGTCCAATTAAATTGCATGTACTATACTCTATCTCTCCTTCAAACAAAACTAGCAGAAAAAAAGCATTGTTTCTAAAAAGTCAACATTTTATTATACTGTTATGTTAGTAATAATTAGTATTTAAACTAGAGATAGTAAAAGACATTTTTGAAAATGAAAAACTCAACTTAAACTTAAATTTTATGAGATGAAAAAAAGGACAAAGGTCCAGAAAATAATTATGACATGTAAAAGTTTATGTTTTGAAAAAAAGTAAGAGTACAATTGTAATCTATAATAAAGCTCTTCGTTCATTTATATGTTTGCTATTGCTGGCCAAACGGCTGAATCAAATGGGATGAAATTTAGTGACGAAACTCATTAATAACCTTGGGGATGACATAAGATAAATAAATTATAAATTTTTATTTTAATTCGATTTTTAAAATTCTACGGGCAACGCCTGGCACTTCATCTAGTTTGTAATAAAAAGAAAGATTACAAAACGGCGGTGCAATGAATAGAGTAAATTAAATTCAAACTTAAAGAAAAACAAAAAAATAATTTTTACAGTCCAAGCTAGGCTAGTAAGATAAGATAAGATAAAGTTTATTTCTAAAATACATGTATCTGTGTACAGAGCGAGTTTACAATAACAAATTGATGATTATATTGATAGTACAAGTATAAAGTAATTAGGTGGAATATAGCTATTGGCTGTTTTGATTATATTTTCCACCTAATTTCAATAATGATAACAAAACATTTCAATTAAATAGATTTAAGGAGAACTATTAGAGATCAGAGCCACATCACGCACAACCAAAGTAAACTTGGATTAAAACTTAAAATCAGATTGTATTTCATTTTCGACACTTTGGATGCTTTGACCGTGTAGTAAAGCATCCGAAGTGTAATTTAAAAGTTTGGCCTAGAAATGGTAACATTTCAACCCCCCCCCCTCTCCATATGGCTCCAATTGTTGCATGTTAGATGAAAGACAATAAAAATGCCGCACGTTGAAACAGAATAAAATTTTAAAAATCTAACTAAAAAATATTTTTTTTAAATTTTAAAGACATTAGGAACTCAAAATATGAAATTATTAACAAACATACAAATGTTTCGACCAATAAAATTTTAAAATGCGTGGAAATTTTCAAATCTGATTTTTTCTGTTAATTAGATTCATACAAGTTCCAAAGAAAAAATCCATTAACACGAAAACGTTTGTTGGGTAATGTGGACATTCCCCATTAATAGGGAAATTTTTATAATTTTTATAACTTTGATTTATTTTTTTATTTTTTTCTCTTCAATTCTTTCTGAAATCGGATTTACTTTACATCAGCATAATTAATTACACGCCTACAACTACGATTTCCAGTTAATCATATATTCAGAATTGATAAATTGAAATTTGTAAGATTATGTATTCATTAGAGTCCAGATTGTACTGATTAATTAATATTTATAAATCATAGTTGAAGCTAAAATGTCCCTGTTCTCCTCTATCCAATCCTCCTGCCCTACCTAAACCATCCACCACTGCACCGTCAATACCGTATCTATAGTTTTTCTTTCGTTTATTATCGAGCAACTGGGGAGCTGATATGAAAACAGCTACAGCTATAGCAGTTCTCTAGACGCAGAACATTTATCAGTTGACAATTAATCTACCACTTGTAATAATGATTTATCAATGTTTCTGCGTAAATAAATAATATTTGATTTGATTTGATTAAACGATTAACAACCCTAACTACAACTACAACTACAAGCGAGAAATAATAAATAGAAATGAGAATGTTCTTTTCTTTTTATATATATCTAACTTTCCAACAAAAACTAGATTACAATTCAGATCTGCATTTAAAAATTAAGTCACCCTTCCCCCCCCCCCCCCCCCCCCCCCCCCCGTTGTATGAAAGTGAGTGTGGCCAAGAATAGAGTTTTAAATTCATTAAACGCATGGTCCCTTAATTAATGTTTACAGTCTAGAAAATGTCCCCTATATACACAAAATTCAGAAAAATGCCCCCTTTATGCACAAAATTCAGAAAAAATGTCCCCTCTAAGCACAAAATTCAGAAAAATGCCCCCTTTCCGCACAAAATTCAGAAAAATGTCCTCTTTATGCACAAAATTCAGAAAAATGTCCCCTTTATGCACAAAATTTGGAAAAATGTCCCCTTTCTCGTAAATTATTCACTATGTATTGCATTTCCATATGGTTAGAATTAAAATCACTTTCCTAATTCCATTATATTTGAATGTCAAACTCTCAAAATGCATTTGTCATATTGATAATTAAGAATTTATTAATTTTGATATTTTAATAAAAAATATTTAATCTATTTTTTGTCTGTTCCTTTAAAACTGTGAAGTAAAATGTTTCCAAAAATATCTTTAAAACAAATCAAAAAAAACTTTAAGTGCTTTTCAATATTTTATATTGTTCTAAAATTTAAAGGGACTGTACAGGAAAAATGAAAGGGCCTATAGGATGAAACCTGAGAATCTCAGGCGTTGAACAATACATATAAGACCTCTATCTGATGTTTCTGTCTCGAGAAATTGATATGAAACTGTGACAAATTTATACGAAAATTCATATATATATATGCAATTTTGTACAAAAGTTGTAGTATTAAACAGATCATAATCAACAAATACGCTAATCAATCTGAAAACGGTGATATCCCACAGGAGCCTGAGAATTTCAGGTTTGCTCAACATGATCCTATCCATGAAGTCACTGATCGAATCTACATTACGACCCCTCTCCAGGAACCTCAGAAATGTACAGTGATGTATGATCTGCTGCAAACGGATAACAGCAGCAATGCACCAGATACCTCCCTGACCATAGCAACCGCCCTCAACCACCTGACAGCCAAGCCATCTGGCTCCTCACCGCCACATTCCAACTTGCCATTAAGGACTCAACAACAACATTGAGGAACTGAAATCCTTCCCCTGTCTGTACTACCTAACCATGAAAACTGATTTTTATGACTGCTCCGACCTCTATGACCTCCATACCTGACTGACTGACTGCTATGAGCATAACCAACTCCCTTCCTCAGCCACCAGACAACCACCCCATCCTGCTCCTCACCGCGGCTTTCCAACTTGCTTTTGAGGAGAATAACATTGAGGAACAGGAAAACATAAACCAACTATACACCCTAACCTTAAAAACCAACTTGGATTTTTCCTCTTCTGACTGCTCCAACCTCCTTGAAACCCGACATCCTCAACTCCCGCCCTCAACCAGCAGTTACCCATCCTGCTCCTCACTGCGGCTTTCCATAGTGCAACTGATCCAGATCCTCCAACCAAACCAGACCCTTCAACCAAGCCTGATCCTTTAAAAGAACCAGATTCTGCAACTGATCCAGATCCTTCAACCAAACCAGATCCTTTGATCAAGTCTTATCCTTCAAAAGAACCAGATTCTGCAACTAATCCAGATCCTTCAACCAAACCAGATCCTTTGACCAAACCCAATCCTTCAACTAGACCAGATCCTTCAACCGCACCTGATCCTCCTACGATACCATTTCAACATCAAATCTGGAGTTCTTCAACCTCTTGGACTCTCTATGGGAACAGAAATACACCTGAAGGAGACTCACAGTCACCTGGAGAGAACAGGGATCAGTTCCACAGGTGGGCGACATTGTCCACTTCAAGATTGAACCCTTATACTGACTTGAAATCTCAGCTGCAGGGTTCAAGACCTTCTCTGAAGAAAGAATGAAGACATTTGGGGCTACAATCAACTACAAGATAGAATTTGAGGACACAGCATCACGGTCAACAGGCACCTCAACCAAAAAATACAGCCTCAGAAGCAGATTTAAGGCCTCACAGAAGACAGAGTAGCAGAGAGTTTAGCTCAGGACATGGAAACCCAGTTCGGAGCAGCCCAAGACGAATTCTACACTGAGTCCTCCGACAACAAGCAATAGAGCTCACCCTGAATTCTGGTTACAGTGTATCCACTCATAGATAATTTACATTTCATGATTTTTCAAGGCAAATAAAATTTCTTCAAATTCTTTGCAACTAATTACCAAACTCAAGTTTATTCCCAAGATATAAATCAAAAATAAAATTTCAAGAACCTAATTCTTAAACTTATCTTAATTTCAACAAATAATTTTAATCACTAATTTCCATTCATCCGATTAATTTGAAAAAAATGAGGACTAATTAATTGTTCAACCTCATTACCCACCAAAATTTATTGCCAAGAAATCACTTGGACTGATCCGAAATCACGTTCAAACCGTGAGCTCTATTATATATTTGCTGATTACCTTCAGTTAACTTTTCCATGATAAATAATGCTGCAAATAATTTCCATTCTTGATTACCAATGACAAAATGAGCTAGATATTACTCAATACATCAGTTTCAATCAATCAAATTTCAATCAATCAATCCCATATTCCATTTTTTCCCTCAATTTTATGATTTGTGTGCTTCTTTTATTCTCGTATTTAATCCTTTCATCCTTGAACCTCAGCAACCCCCCACCGTTGTTCATAAATCTACCTTCTTGTTTTATTCAATGCAATGTCGTCTTTACCACAGACAACGCCGGACACTTCATCTAGTTGTTCAATATGGAACAAAAACAAAAAAATTGCGTATTAAATAATATTTTTGGCGCATTTTCAAAATTTTAAATAAAATCAAACACTTTTGAACACAAATTTTTGTAATTGAATAACTCCTCTTTTTTGGCGTCCACATTATTTAAACGAAATGCGTCCTTAAATTAACAGTGCGTTCCCATCTTTAAAAATGAAGGACAAATATTTGTTGTTGGTTTAAGCGTAAAGTAAATTTTTAAATGTGAGAATTTTTGGAAGAAAAATTCAAAACTTTTAAAAGATTGTGAACATGCTGAACTTTAGTGACCATTCTTTTTCGGTGAAAAACTAGTCTTAAGACTGAAAGTCTGAAAGACTTAAAAACACTTATTTTGGCAATTCCAGGATTCAGTTCTTTTATTCCATTTTTTAAATTATAAGTTTATAAAAACTGCAGGCGGTAATTTAAGTAATTTAAATGTATTTGGGTTTTTGTACAGGGTTACCAACAAAGAATCAGACTCTAATGACTAAATAAATCTCCTTAAATATAACGAAATGAGATTTGAACTTAATATTCTACTTTAAATATTGTTTTTTTTAACGGACTATTAAATGATTCGGCTAAACTACAGATAAACAATGTAGGTTACAAATTACACCCGCGGAGAAAGATGAATTAAGTTGTGTACACTGCACAACCGTGTCTCTTAAGTCTCATTCTTTGATTGTAACTCTGTATAAATAAATGTTTATTGCTCATTGTAGGTTTAATTTTAATGGAATGGTATAGTTTGTGTGAAGGTTTAATCTGTCTTACTTCCTAGTTTTATTATTCCATCACAAAAAAGAAAGAGAAATATTTCCAAGATTAAGAATTTTCGGTTGTGGTATTAAACCTGAATTTCTCCTTTTCTCGCCTCATAAATCAAATTCCTTGATTTTACAATGTTATTGAGTTCACAATGTACGTGGGGATATTGTTAAATGCAGTAGTCAACAGAACAAAAAGGAGAAAGAAGACGACTGGGATTTGTCCTTTTGCATCAAGTTTTATTATTACAGATGTTTGGCTACAAAAAAAACATAAAGGTATTTCTCGCATATAGTGTAATTTCACATACATATCCAAATTCCGAGTAAAAATCTATTGAACAACGTAGTTATTATTAAATCAATCAACTAAATAGTTATTACATTATTTCAATCAACTAAATAGTTATGATATTAACACAATCAACTAAATAGTTATTATATTAACTCAATTAACTAAATAGTTATATTTAACTCAATCAATTAAATAGTTATTATTAACATAAATCAACTAAATAGTTATTATTAACTCAATCTACTAAATAGTTATTATATTAACTCAATCAACTAAAAAGTTATTATTAACATAAATCAACTAAATAGTTATTATATTGACTCAATCAACTAAATAATTATTATTAACTCAAGTAACTAAAAAGTTGTTATTAACTCAATCAACTAAATAGTTATTATTAACTCAATCAACTAAATAGTTATTATTAACTCAATCAACAACATAATTATTATTTTAATTCAATCAACTAAGTAGTTATTATCAACTCAATAAACTAAATAGTTATTATTAACTCAATCAACTAAATAGTTATTATTAACCCAATCAACTAAATAACTTCAGAAACAGCGCTTCACAGAATTCTCTCTGCAGTCTCCCAATCCTATTTATTCACTGAATAGTGATATGGGAACTCCGTGAGGGTTCAGAGAAGTAGACTGATGAGTTGGAGAGTAAAAACTGGAGAGCGGGGCAAACACAAACTCTTAAGTTCTAATTCCTATATCTTTGAAGCTCAAAGTTGTAGACCTTAGATAATTCAAACTATGAATTCTGTTATTAGATAACGAACTATAAGTTTGAAATATGAAAGGTTTACACACTGAGAATTTGAATTTGTGGCATAGACTCAACTCCTTTAAACAACATTTAAGTTGAAGAGGATTCGTCAAAGGTGTAGACCGAGTATTCCCCTCTTTGTATGAAGTGTTGTTACGCTGAAGATTAAAGGTTGGGAGAAAAAGACTAAATTGCCAAGATGAGTAGAATGAAGGGTAGAGAGGAGTAGAATGAAGGATAGAGAGGAGTAGAATGAAGGGTAGAAAGGAGTAGAATGAAGGGTAGAGAGGAGTAGAATGAAGGATAGAGAGGAGTAGAATGAAGGGTAGAGAGGAGTAGAATGAAAGGTAGAGAGTAGTAGAATGAAGGATAAAAAGAAAAGAATGAAGGGTGGACAAAGGAGTAGAATGAAAGGTAGAGAGTAGTAGAATGAAGGGTGGAGAGGAGTAGAAAGAAGGGTAGAAAGTAGGAGAATGAAGGATAAAAAGAAAAGAATGAAGGATGGTAGAAAGGTGTAGAATGAAAGGAAGAGAGTAGTAGAATGAAGGGTAGTGAGGAGTAGATAGAAAGGTAGAGAGGAGTAGAATGAAGGGTAGAGAGGAGAAGAATGAAGGATATAGAGGAGTAGAATGAAGGGTAGAGAGGAGAAGAATGAAGGATAGAGAGGAGTATAATGAAGGATAGAGAGGAGTAGAATGAAGGTTACAGAGGAGTAAATTACATGAAGGATATATATACATTATAAATATCCACATTAAATGTCATAGATAATAAATAAGATAAAATAAAAGAATCTCTAGTTCTTTTCTCTAAAAATTGTTTGTTTGTTTATCTAATCTAATTACTGGTTGATCACAGATGTTCTTGTTCATGCAAAAGGTTTTATAGTTTTATAATAACACGCTAAAAAATCTTCAATTGAAAAACTTATTTTGCCTTCATTGAGTCTTAGGAAAGATAAATAGTTACTCAAGAATTATATTCCACTCATATTTTTATGTTTAAAGGCAGTATTCGTGAAAAATGGAAAGGGGGTTAGATTTGCAATAAATATTGTAATAATCCCCATATCTTGGAAACCTGAACCTACATGTATATCTATATATATTATATTGTATTATCGGTCAGTTTAATCTTTATCTGTACCTTACACTTAAATATAGTTTGTTGAATATAGACTCTGGTTACGGACGGTTAGAGATACCATTGTTGGGTAGAGAGGATAGAGATTGATAGCTTTGTGTGTCGATATATACACACTTAGACCTTCCAGTGTTTGGTAGAGGGTAAAGTGTTTAAAAGCTTTGTGTGTCGATAAATACATACTCAGACCTACAAGGATTCGGTAGAGAGGATAGAGTTCGATATTGTTGTGTGTAGATTGAGACAAACTTAAAGAAATATTCTAGAAAGGCATTTATTACAGTTTGATACCTTTTCAGTTTTGTGGTATTAGATTTAGGTTTTAGGTATCAAGGTTTTTATGAAGGAAACTGCACAAGGTTTTTGATGTAAACTGAACAAGGTATAATGTAGGAAACAGTGCAAGGTTTAATGTAGAAAACTGTGCAAGGTTTAGTGTAGGAAACAGTACAATGTTTAGTGTAGGAAACTATACAAGGTTTAGTGTAGGAAACTTTTCAAGGTTTAATGTAGAAAACTGCACAAGGTTTAATAAAGGAAACTTTTCAAGGTTTAATAAAAGAAACTCTCCTAGGTTTAATGTACAAAACGGTTCAAGGTTTAATTTAGGAAACTGTACAAGGTTTGATGATTGAAAATGTACAAGGTTAAATGAAGGATATTGTACATATTTACATGAAGGAAACTGTACAAGGTTTAATGTAGGAAACAGTGCAAGGTTTAATGTAGGAAACAGTACAAGAATTAGTATAGGAAACTGTACAAGGTTTAATGTATAAAACTGTACAAGGTTTAATAAAGGAAACTTTTCAAGGTTTAATTAAGGAAACTGTCCATGGTTTAGTGTAGAAAACTGTTCAAGGTTTAATGTAGGAAACTGTGCAAGGTTTAATGAATGAAACTGTACAAGGTTTAATGAAGGAAACTGTAAAATGTTTTATGTAGGAAACTGTACAAGGTTTAATCAAGGAAACTGTAGAAGGCTTAATGAAGGAAACTTTACAAGGTTTAATGTAGAAAACTGTACAAGGTTAATGTAGGAAACTGTAAAGGTTTAATGTAAAAAACTGTACAAGGTTTAATGAAGGAAACTGTACAAGGTTTAGTGTAGGAAACTGTACAAGGTTTTAT